TTTTTCTTATCCATACGAGTAAAAAAGATAGAAAAATAACTAAGTTTTATATGTAACTACAGTGAAAAATCGTATTTTCTCTACTGTGGAAATATTTGGTACAAGTGATCGATGGGAAGAGTTTTCCTGCACGAAAAACATGTGAATTCAGGTTTTATTAATGTCACATTATAAATTTTAATGAAATTCTAGTTTCAATAATAATCCAGATGACAAGCAGAGCTGGTCATTACACATTTATAATACGTAAATTTACATTTCACAAATGCTTTATTAATGCATCATACAAAAGTGTGGTTGCTGTGAGCTATGGTCACAAGTAGTAGGGATTAATAAAAAGTTTTAATTTTAAATGAGTTTTGTGATTGGATTTGATACAAGATTTACAAGTTTAAAGATTTATTGTAAATTTTGGAACACTCTAGCATGTATCACATATAATCTTTTGTATTCATTCAGAGAGGCCTTGGTGATATCAAGTAGTTATAGTCAAAGTTTATGATATTGAAATTCTGCACTTTTTTCTCATCCAATTAATCCATCACGGTTTGATCCTTTTTTGTTTTATTCAGGTGAATAGTTTCTTGGAAGCAATGAACTGATGATTTTGAACTGATGATTTTAATCAAAAGACCTTTCATAAATGGCCTCTTGGTCATCAATGAAATTTATTATCAAGTGCTTAGTAAGCATTTTTTTGAATATGTTGTTGCGGTCTGCGTAGAACAATGTGGAAAATTACACAAATAAGTTTAGGATAATCACATGATAATTCAATGTATCACTAACACATTTCTCTTGTGCGCAATATCATAAAACACAGTAAGATCAGGCAATCAGTTGATCTAAGCCTGCTCTCAAACAATGCAATTACGTGTAATATCTGAAGGTATGATGGGCAAGTGGAGTAAAAGTATCTTTATTACTACTTGCACACTACCAAACTGAAATAGACTTTTTAATGCAACTTTGTCAAGAAATACGAAATAGTTTATTAAAATTTATTAAAATTTATTAAAATTTCATGTAGGAGTATAACAATAGCAATATATTACTGCTTTGGCATATCTTATCACTTTGCTTCCTCCTGCACTAAATTAATTATTAAAATTATTACAGAAATACAACAATAGAGATTATTACTGTGTTGGCGTATCTTATCTCTATTGCTATACGAAATTATTTTGATATTATTAAAAAAGTATTACAAATAAAAAGTAAAAATAAAACTAAATTAAAATGTTCAAAATATTTAAGAAAAAAAAATAAAACTAAAATTAAAATTGTTCGAAATATCAAGTAAAATATTTTTATTTGGTTCTTGTACTTTTTGGTGAAAGGGAATCTCTCTTTCTTCCTTTTTGCAGCTATTTTTATATCTTCCCATTATTTACTTTCATCCACCATCATCCATAAACACGAGGATATTATCTTTCATCTTGGATGAAGGATGATGTGAGACGCACAAGGATAATTTCATCCAAATAGTGAGACCGTGTTTAGGACGTTTTCGTGCCACCTCAATGTAATTTACGAAAAAAATAAAAATAGAACGGTAAATGTTATTGTCACATTATCTGTTTATTACGTAATAAAGAAATCATTTACTCTAACTTATGATAGAAAATATAGTAGTATATTGTATAAAAAAACATATCTGCGGCTCGTTAGACAAACGATTTTTTTATAAATACGATACCCGCCCGGAACGAAGCGGTGGGTGAGCACAGCACGGCATAGTGCGGCACAGCAAGGCGCGTTGATTTCTTGATATAATAAATATAAAACGCTTCCAAACCACAAATTGCCTCTTATATCTACTTTTTCGCTTAATCTAATCCAAAAAGGCAATAATAAAAAGGTAAAAGTCAAGCTGCGTCGTACGAATTTGAAAAAGTTATTTTATAGTGCTAAAAAAATGTCATAATGAATGTCATAATGATGTGTCATAATTATGTGTCATAATGATAATGAAATGTCATAATTATTGCGCGCTTTTTTAAAATTAAATGAATTTCCCTTCTTTTATCAAATCATTCTCATTTCGCTTTGTTTGTACAAATATAATAATCTGAAAAATATGTCGCAAAAACAGTTCGAAGTATGCACCTATCTCTTTGTTTGGTGATTTTTTTTTTTAAAAAAAATAATTCTTTGAATTTTTTAATAAAAATTAGACTTTAAAAGAAAAAGATATTCAACCGGGAGATTATGTTTCCACTCGATTTAGAGGTGGATCACGACAAGGTATGAATAATGAAAACTTCCAATTTTATAAATTTCATATTACCTTATTTCTCAATCTATTTTAATTAGGTTATGTTGAAGAAATCGTTAAAAATGAAGAACAAGCCAAGGAACATCCTGAAGTGATAAGGTATCGAATTATTCTTAAAAGAATTATGCAATTTATTAAAAATTCATAATTTTCATTTTTTTTTGTAGACCACCTAAGGTTGTTTTCACTGATCAGCATGGACACAAGGTCATTAAAATACTTTGCTTTGTAATATTAATTATCGTTCGTTTTAATAAAATTATTTTTTCTAAAAAAAAAAATAGGTCGCGCATAATCCTACTACCTTGACAAACCATGAAGAAAAGAGTGAAAGAGACAAATTTCAAACAGAAGAAACGTACAAAAAATAATACTTGTATATTTATATTGTAAAATTTTTTATGGTCTTTGATGATTCTACGAAAAGTAAAATAAATTACTACCGTATTATGTAATTGTGATTAATTTATTATAAATATATTAAATATATTGTATACTTTATAATAACCTTTCTGTATAAATTGAAGAATTCATAAAATAATTTCCTTTTCAGGAAAAGAATGCAACTTTTTTCCTATCTGGGAGAACGTCGAAAGCTAATTTTCGAAAATATTTGGTTTGGCTATTAAAAAAAAAATAATTAAATAAATTAAAATAAGTTTTGTTGGCAAATTAAAAATTTTCTCGAAAAAAATCGTGTATTTTATTTTATAAAAAATCTTCATTACAAAATGTCATTTGAATTTATATAATAATTTCTTAGTTATAACGTTAAATAAAATTTATAAATTATATGTTATCGTCATCGTAAATGAAAAACTAAATATTAAATATAAATAAATAATGATGAATATAATGTAAATATTTAATAAAAAGATTTTGTTAATTCTTCAAGTTTTTTTTCAAAATTTTCATCATTTTTAGGTTTTGGAAGATTTGAAAAAT